CAGCCCGGGGCCGGGGTCTCCGCCCCGCGAGGTCAGCGGCGCCCAGCTGCGCAGGGCGTGGACGGAGCCGGAGGGAGGGCGGGAGGCTCCCCCTCTCTGGCTCCCCCCTCCTCCGACTGCAGCAAGTGCCCCCCCCAAAAATGTGTATTCTCATGTTTTTAGACTCCCCGGACGCCCCGGCGGCTGCTGCGCTGCGGCGCCCGGACTCCCCCACGCGGAGACCCCGCCTGCGACCGCCTCACCAGCCGCCCGCGGGGGCCCGGGAGCCCCAGGCCGCGCCGCACTGCCGCGGAAGGGGGAGGGCGGGAAGGACGGGAGGGGGGGAGGGCGGCAAGAATGGATTGGGGGAAGGGGTGATGGAAAGGAAGAGAAAAAACCCCCGAGGCATGCAAGCGGCTCCCCAGCCAGCTGTTCCAGCCGCCGCTTCCCCGGCGCGGGCCGGGAGGTGCCATTCCCCCCCCCCATCTTTCTCACCACTACCTGCCCCCCCCACCGGCCACAAGCACACATTCCTCCCAACCTCCCCGCGGCGGATCCGCGGCCTGTAGGGGGGTAGTAGGGGGAGCTGGGGGGAGGGGGAGGCCTGCAAGTTTCTAACCTTGTTCTTATAAACAAACCCACATGTGCAGCTGCCGCTGCTGCAACTCACCCCACAATCCCGGATATAAGTCCTGCCCCTTTAAGAGGGGAAAAAAAAAAAAGCTTCCCCCGCCTGCCTCCCACCCCACCCATCCACAAGGACCTTTGTCTCCCCACCCCCCCTGTCAGTCGGCCCCGCCTCCGCGTCCACGCCCCTCGGGCGCCGAGCAACCAATCGGCGGAGAAAGCCGGGCCGACGGCCTTACGTCATCAAGGTTGACCAATCACAGAGCACGTTGGTGGGAGGCCTTGCGGAGGGCGCGCCCGGAGGAAGAGAGGCCGGAGAGCAGCAGTTCGCGTATAAAATGGAGACTGCTGGGTGCTCGGCCGCCGCCGTGGGCAACAGCGACCCGGGAGTGCAGCGCGACTACACCATGGTGCCGGAGCGGCTTCAGAGACGCGAGCAGGAGCGGCAGCTTGAGGTGGAGAGGCGGAAGCAGAGTCGGCAGAACGAAGAAGTGGAAGAGGAGAAGAGCAGCTTCTTCACCTCCACCTTAGCCCGCGAGCGGGCGGCCGTGGAGGAGCTTCTGCGGGGCGACGGGGCGGCCGAGCGGCTGGAGGAGGCGGCCGAGCGGCTGCAGGGGCTGCGGAAGCTCCTGAACGATTCAGTGCGGTTCCTGTCTCCCTACAACCTGCGGCAGGGCCAGGAGACGCTGGTCCAGCTGCAGGCCGCCCTGGCCCAGCGGCGCCAGGAGCTGAAGCCGGAGAAGCGATTCGCGTTCAAGGCCCGGAAGAGCCAGGCCGCTGGGGCCGCGCGGGTGGAGGCGGCTCCGGAGGCCCCGGCGCCCGCGCGCGCCCTGTCCTCCAAGGACGACGACCAGGCGGCTTCCGAGACCAGCTGGGCCTGTGGCTTCTCCAACTTGGCGTCCCAGGTCTTGGAGAAAAGAGGCGCCGAGCTGCACCAACGCGACGTCCTATTGAGCGGTCTGAGAGACTGCACGGTCAAGCTGTTGGGCAACCCCAACACTTTGCGACTGGCCCAGGCCCACGGCTGCCGGGTGCTGTGCGGGCCCGTGTCCACCTCCGTGTTCCTGGAGAATTGCACGGACTGCGTGCTAGTCGTGGCCTGCCAGCAGCTCCGCGTGCACAGTACCGAGAACACTCGCATCTTCCTGCAGGTCACCAGCAGGGCCATCGTAGAGGACTGCAACCGGATCCAGTTCGCCCCGTATACCTGGAGCTACCCCGGAATCGAGCAGGACTTCCAGAGCTCCGGGTTAGATCGGAGCAGAAATAACTGGAACGACGTGGATGATTTTAACTGGCTGGCCCGGGGTGTGGCCTCCCCGAATTGGAGTATTCTTCCCGAAGAGGAGCGGGAGATCCCGTGCGACTAGACTGAAGCCGGCGCCCCTGGTCTTCACTCCTAACCAAATACACTCCTCGTGGGCATGGCTGCTGCTAACAAAAGTTTATATATTGTTGTCATGTTGTGTACATTTACGGTATTTTCGTGCTTGAGATCACAGGAGGCCCCTAACTTGTGATCCAATAAATTCATGATGATTCTAACGCGTTTTTATGAACTTTTTGTTACGGTAATCTGAAGCAATAGGAGAGGACTAATGATTTAGATCACCTTTTTAAGTGGTGGTCCACTGGGGCTTGTCTACTTTTTCAGTTTACTTCCTGGCTTTAACTTGAATCTAGCCTTTTTATTCCCCCTTCCCTTTTTTCTATGCCAGTACAAAAGCTTGAACTCTGACCCTTGAGCTCTTGTTATTTGCCAGTCCTCAAGGCTAGCACTCTATCACTTGAGTCAGAGCGCCACTTCCACCCTTTTCTGTTTATGTGGTATTGAGGAATCCAGGGCTTCATGCATGCTAGAGAAGTACTCTACCACTAAGTTACATTCCCAGCCCTGCCCCTCCAACTCTTGATTAGCTTTTTCCCCAATGGGGTGGCCCTCTACAATGAGCTACACCTCTAATTACAACTTCCTGTTGGTTAGAGTTGAGTCACCCAGATTTGTTTGGGCCAATTTTGAGCTCTGATGTTCAGATTTCAGTCACCTTAGTAGGGAGAATTAATGCTTCTAATACTGGTAGGTAGTATCCTACTGCATTCCTGAGAAGGCTTATCAGGTTAGACCCACTAGCAGTGTCTTGGGAAGGCTGTTTTCTTATCAATGTATAAAGTACTGTCATTTTTGGATCTTTGCCAATCTGATAGTTGGAAAATGTTATCCTCCTTTAGTAGTAATTGTAATAATCTCCTAACTTGTCTTTCTAAACAATTCTGCCTGTAACTATCAATTTCCTCTCCCTCTCCCAGTCCTGAGACTTGAATTCAGGCCTGGGTGCTGTCCAGGAGCATTTATGCTCAACACTAACAGCACTTTTGAATGAGCACAACTCCACCTATGGCTTTTTGGGGGCAGTTAGTTGGAGATAAGAGTCTCCAGGGCTTTTCCTGCCCAGGCTGGCTTTGAACCATGACTCTCAGATCTCAGCCTCCTGAGTAGCTAGGGTTACAGGTGTGAGCCACATTGCACCTGGCCCAAATTCACTTTTTTTTTTTTTTTTGTCATTCATAGGGTTTGAACTCTGGGCCTGGGCGCTGTCCCTCAGCACTACAGCTCAAGGCAAGTCCTCTATTGCTTGAGCCACAGCGCCAGTTCCGGTTTTCTGGTGGTTTATTGGCCATAAGAGTCCGATAGACTTTGCTGCCCAGGCTGGCTTTGAACCGTGATCCTCAGATCTTAGCCTTCTGAGTAGCTAGGATGATAGGCTTGAGCTAAGGGTGCCCAGCTAAAATTCAGCTTCTTAGGGTTTGGGAAGGTGGCTCAGTGGTAGAGTGTCTGCCTGGAATGCAAGAGGCCCTGGGTTCTATTCCTCAGCACCACATAAGCAGAAAAAGCTGCAAGTGGCACTATGGCTCAAGTGATAGAGCACTTGCCTTGAGCTGAAGAGCTGAGGGACAGTGTTCTGGCCCAGATTTCAAGCCCTACCACCGCCCCCTCCCCCCACAAAAAAAATCAAATCAGTGTCTTAAAGTATGTGACAATGTAAAGCCTCCCCAGGGTTCCATCTCCACTGGGACCCCTTAGCCTGGGAGAACAGCCCTCCACACTCACGTGGCAGCCTTCTATCCTTACAGCCACTGTTTGATCTCAGGTCATGCTTCAGCCAGTCTGAACTAATTCATCAAGCACACTGTAGCAGGCCAGGCCCTGGCAGGAAACAGATGTCACACTCCAAGTGGGTAATTTGTAAAGCGCTTAATACAGGAAGTATTTACAAAGCTGCGGGCAGAGTTTAGGGAAAGCAGTAAGAGATGGTGCAATACCAGCATCATCCCTAAGGGGCAAAACTATTAGTTGAACAAGGACTGAGCTCAAAGAGGAGCGGGAGGGAGGGGCCGGGGAGAACACTACTACTCCACAGGTGGAAGATGGCAGCCAGTCTACATGATGGCTAGAGAGCCAGCCAGGGGAGAGCCCTGGGAATTGAAAAATGCCTCTGTTATTTACTGCTGCTTTCCACTGGCTGAAGCCAGTTGGAAATTTTTTTTTTGGGTGGGGGTCTAGGTACTAGGGCTATCCTTCACCTTTTTCAATCAAAGCTGGTGTGCTACCACTTGAGCCACAGCTCCACTTTTAGCTTTCTGCTGCTTAATTAGAGGTGAGAGTCTCATGGACTTTCCTTCCCTGGCAGACTTTGAACCTTGATCCTCAGATCTCAGCCTCCTGAGTGGCTAGGATTACGAGTGTCAGCCACCGGGCACTGCTTTCTCAGTCACTCCACACCGTGTGGGTCCAGGTGCACAGCCAAAATTGTGTACAAACCAGGTGTGAAGCTCCTCAGCTGGGAAGTCTTCCAGGGTTTCCTGCAGTTTCTGAAAATGAAGCATATTTTGAGATAATATAAGCAAGGCAGGAAAGTGAAGGGGCTAGTGAGGAGAGGGCACAGTTTTTGAGAGAAAGGCAATGGTTTGAAGACATGTCCCAGTCACCAGTGTTCATGTGCTGGCAGAGCCGGAGGGGCAGGGACTGCGCATGACTCTCCAGTGTGCTGGAATCACGCCCTCATCTCCGCAAAGCCAGAGTTCAAGAGGAGGGATGTCAGAGCAAGAACTTTATTTTTTTTTTGGGGGGGGTCTGGTCGTGACAGCCTGGGCGCTGTCCCTCAGCTCTTCAGCTCAAGGCTAGCGCTCTACCACTTGAGCCACAGCGTCGCTTCCAGCTTTTTTCTTTTTGCTCATGTGGTGCTGAGGAATCGAACCCAGGGCCTCGTGCGTGCAAGGCAAGCGCTCTACCACTGAGCCATCTTCCCAGCCCAGAGCAAAAACTTTAAAGAGACAAATGACTACCATATAGAGAAAGGAGAGGTGAAACCCCAGTAATATAACAGGCCCAAAGAATTAAAAGCTATCATCTTTGAGAGGGGAGGGAGGTGAGTCATGGCCTTTCTCCCATGTTTAGATACTGAAAGCCTTTAAAGCTGCCCTTTTTTTGGGGGGGGAGGTCGGTCTTGGGGCTTGAACTCTGGGCCTGGGTCCCATCTCTGAGCTCTTCAGCTCAAGGCGAGCGCTCTACCACTTGAGCCACAGCGCCACTTTCAGTTTTCTGGTGGTTAATTGAAGAGTCTCACAGACTTTCCTGCGCGGACTGGCTTTGAACCTTGATCCTCATATCTCAGCCTCCTGAGTAGCTAGGATTACAGGCGTGAGCCACTGCTGCCTGGCTGAGCTTGTTTTTTCTCTTACCTTTGTTGATCACTTTACATTCTCAGGGAAGCTGGCTGGACACAAGGTAACCATCTCTCATCTGTTGAAGCCATTCTTGGTTGGGCCACTAGAGGGCGTCCACAGGCTTGGACTAATTGCTTCTCAACTTTGGGGTCAGGAGAGAAAGATGAGTGTGTTCTAATCCAGTTATTCTAAAAAACCTAGATAAATTTTTCCTCTGGTTTCCTTCATCAAGTGTGTCTTCCTCTTTGATTTTCTCTCATCCACATGCATCCTCAGCTAGGCACCAGGCATGGGTGGCTCACACCTGTAATCCTAGCCACTCAAGAGGCTGAGACCTAAGGATCATGTTTCAAAGCCAGCCTGGGCAGAAAAGTCCATGAGACCTCTTTTTGTTGGTTGTAAGGCTTGAACTCAGGACCTGGGCACTATCCTTGTGCTTTTTGTCTCAAGGCTAGCACTCTACCACTTTGATTTTTTTTTTTTTTTGTGCCAGTTGTGGGGTCTGAACTCTGGGCCTGGGTGCTGTCCCTCAGCTCTTCAGCTCAAGGCTAGCGCTCTACCACTTGAGCTACAGCGCCACTTCAGGCTTTTTCTGCTTATGTGGTGCCTCATGCATGCAAGGCAAGCACTCTACCGCTGAGCCACCTTCCCAGCCCCTCTACCACTTTGAGATACAGTGCCTTTCTGGTTTTCTGGTGGTTAATTAGAGATAAGAATCTCACGGACTTTCCTGCCCTGGCTAGCTTTGAACCAAGATTCTCAGATCTCAGCCTCCCGAATAGCTAGGATTACAGGCATGAGCCACCAGCAGCTGAGTAAAGATTGCATGCGGAGAGAAAAATCAGGGGAAGAAGACACATATAATAATTCAAAGTGCAAAACATCCTGGAAAAGATAGAGCCAGCGGTGGCCTGAGACCTGAGAGGGTGGGCTGAGAGGAAGAACAGGCGTTTAGAGCAGAGGAACCATGTTCTGTGTGATATGGTCATGGTGGAATGGGATATTATGTATTTGGTAAAACTCACAGGACTACACCAATGCAAGCTATTACTGAAGGGGAAACTGGTTGGGGTGAGGGAGTCTATGAAAGCTCAGCATTTCTTTTCAACTTTGTGTAAATCTAAACTGGCTCTAAGAAATAATTAAAAAATTACAAACTAAACCGGATACCAGTGGCTTATGTCTATAATTTTAGCTACTTAGGAGGCTGAGATCTGAGAATCACAGTTTGAAGACAGCCTGTACAGACACTTATCTCCAATTTCCCACCAAAAAAGCCAGAAGTGGTAGAGCACTAGTCTTTGAGCAGAAACTCAAGGACAGGGCCCAGGCGGTGACATCAAGCCCCGGGACTAGCACACACAGACACACAAAGTAGACTCATCAAGTATGCACACATCTCCATTTTCACTATCTTAAACTCTTTAGTGACAGAATTTGGACATGTGTTCAGGGGAATAGATCAAGTTTGAGCTGCTACTGTTTAATTTGCATTTCCCTGCATACTACTGAGGTTATTTCCAGATTATTAGACTTTTCTAAGTTTTGCCATGAATTACTTGTTCTGTCTTTAGCCTGTTTTCCTAGATTTTTTTTTTCTGCCAGTCCTGGAGCTTGAACTCTGGTCTCTGTCCTTGAGCCTCTCTGTGCTCAAGGCTAGTGCTCTACCACTTGAGCCACAGCGCTTTTTCTGAGTAATTTATTGGCAATAAGAGTCTAACGACTTTCCTGCCAGGGCTGGCTTTAGATCAGCCCTCTGAGTAGTTAGAATTACAGACGTGAGGGCTGGGAAGGTGACTCAGTGGTAGAGCGCTTGCCTTGCAT